GGTGTTGTGGTGGGTTAGCCAGCGCGATCGGTGCCAATTTTGCTTTCTCTGCTGGTGCTGACTGCGATGTCGGTCCTGGAGGTGGAGGCATGTTGCCATAGGTGCTGGAACTAGGGGGTGGAGGGTGCTGCAGCACCCCCTGGCTTGAAGCAATTTCCATTATATACAGGGTTTACAGTTTGGTTCAGTGGCTCTCAGCACCCCCACTATACAAATTGTTCCAGCACCCCTGCATGTTGCCTGAGGAAGCACTCAGTAATGAGTCCCTCGTGAGTGAGGTCGGTGCCATGGAGGAGGCATGTCTCCATCTGTGCCTCGACTCCGTCTCCTTCGGTTGGGACTCGGCAGTGCCGGAGGTACCTGGAGTGTCATAAGTGCTCACCCGAGTATGTCGGCATCAGGGGTAGCGACCTGGCAGGAGACCACCATTGTTTCTGCGGTGCTCTCTGCGGAAACGTCTTGCCCTCTTCCTCGGTCTTTTAGAGGAAGGCATGTCTCCTGTCCGTGAGTGGGGGTGCCTGGCAAGATGGTCTGTGGGTACATTTTTGGTTGAAGAGATTTCTCCATCAAGTTCATTTTTAGTCTGAGATCCCGGTCACGCCTGGCTCTCACCTTCAGATTGTTATAGTGGGCGCATTTTTGTGGAATATGCGCCTCACCGAGACATCGTACACGCAAGGAGTGCCTGTCAGAAACAGGCATTGCTTCATGGCAGGAGCCGCATCGCTTGAAGCCTGGGGAGCCAAGCATCTTAACAGTTAACTGTCCCCAGTGCGGGGAGGGTAAACCAGAGAAAAATAAAGTGGTTTTTTGTTCGTTTTTTTTGGGTAGTAAAAACCCAACTTGGGTAGTAAAACAACAACTTTCTATATGACTAACTAACTATTTAAACTATTATTTCTAAAGTTTGCGGAAGAGTGATGAACACTGTCCTAGATCTCAGTCTTCAGACGAGAACGGTTGACAAGGAACTAGAGGGCTCGGGTCGTGCGCACTCTAGACACGGCACCAACGGTACCGTGAGACGCCTACTGCACACTGCTACCATAAATCTCTGATTGACAGTGCCAGCACACACCAACCTCTGAAGTGGAGCACCCACAGGGACAGCACTCGAAGAAGAATAAAAGATTTAACCCTAAATGACCAGATGAAAGTATTTGATGCAGTATGCTCACTCCTTTCATTGATAACTTTAAGAAACAGCTATAAGGAGAAATTAATGTGAAAATGTGTATTATTACTACCACTAAGAAAATTAAATTTAAAAACAGCAAATCATATATTAAATATGGAAAGTAAATTCATATTCTAGAACTACACCTGAAGTTTTCCATTATGCATATACCGCCCATGTGGCTGTTTTTCCTTCAGCCTTTGGATATGAAAAACCTTCATTCATGGCATAGTAAACAGTTAAAAAAAAGGGTAACATGATTTTAACCTTACCACCTCAATATGTCCTTTCCAAATGTGGGCTTCCTCCTCTTACCTTCTTTTTCTCTTTATATTCTGTTCATAGAATTTAAGACATTTTTCTCTGCACTCATTTCATATGTACATGCACATACATTTCAAAAGGCTTCTTGCTTTGTATACTTTTTTATTCGCTGTTTATATTTCTTATGTTTGGTAATCACTTTTTTGCTTAGTAAAAGCTAAAGTAAGAGATTTAAATAAAAACCTAAAACATTTTTAAAGTGTCACTGTGTCTTAACTGTCTGAGGCCTCTCTCACTCACCAGACTTTTCTGGTATATTATATGAACCCATTTTTTCTGGAAATGGTGTTTCCTATTAGTGGCAGCCTTCAATCCCACAGCTGCCTCCATGCAGGAAGGCCCGGCACGTACACTAAGCCTTTTTGATTTTGCCATCAGGGCTCATTGATCTGCCAAAGCGGATCAATTGCAGGGTCAGCCACTTAGACAAGAGGCCTGGCAAAACAGCAGTCTTCTTACAGGTTTCTTTTCCCCATCTCTGAACTAATGTAAACCTTTAAAGCCTGTATTAACCATAGGAAAAATGGGTTTACTTGTAAATTATACAGTATAAAATAAGATGTGATCTCTGGAGTACTTAAGGGTTTCATAGTAACTTTTTTGGTTGATGTGAAGAACAGGAAGGTCATCAGCATAACGAGAAAAAGGCTGATGATGGAAAAAAAGCGGGTTAGATGAAGTGTAGTTTAGAAAGATTTCACATAGCAACGTGCAGATGTAATTTTTTTTCCTTGATAGCCCATCATACAGCCAGGTGTTCAGTAGGCAGTGAGAAAAATCCGTTTGCTACTTTAGAATCCAAGGCACCTTTGGTAGCCTGGCATACAGAAATATGATTTCTCAACTCATTAGGGAAGCAAGCAAGGTGAGTGTTAACTGTTGGCTCAGTTTGGCCTATCCATATGGGACTAACCACATAAAAAGGTGAAAGAAATCCTAACAGAATGCAGCAGCTGGTAAAAGGCCATTATATTGCAATTTTCATGAGGTTGACAGTAGGCCAAGAAACTACAAAATGGCATAGAGTAGGAAAAGCAGTTGTAACAGGTTGTACATTGTTGGCGATTATATTTTCAGTAGCAATGAAAGCTGTACTGAAATAAGGTAAAAGAGACGCTGGCAGAAATAAGGCCCAAGGGAGATAAAATATTAAAAAATGTACAGTACTTCAGGAACTTTAGTGGTGGCTGGTTGCTACAGACTAATCAACTGTTTAAAAATGAAGTTTTAACTATCAATTTCAAAGGGCTTGGAGTGACCTAACACTAAGAAGTCTGGAATGTTACTGCTGAGGATTTAGTATTAAGTGTTGCCTGATTTATGGACTCATCAAATGCTGTGACATTTCAAATGTGAAATTGATGAATTAAAACAGGTAAATATCAAGAAGGAAATTGATAAAACACAAAACCAGTAATGTATGCAGGAAATTCAGTTAGCAAAGGATGCTCTCATATGTGCCCTGAGTACTCTATGTTGAAGGTGGAAAGGAAAATTACATAAACATTAAGAAAAGGGCCAGGCATGATACTTACCCTTCTGTTACACCTTTATGGCAACTCTTGTAACAATTAAAGATAAGCAAGAAAGTAATAATTCAACGGATGAAAAAAATGGATGACTAAATAAACATTGTTTAAAGGTTGAAAAGGCTAAGAATAACAGGCAGCTTTGCTATGACAAATATGAAATGCTAAATGAGGGGAATAAAGGAGAAATGGAAAGAGAAACATTTAAATCACTGGGGGTAGTCTTAAAGCTGGAGCAGGGAGCAGATGGAACAGGGAAGTCACTAGGATTAACAAATACCTCAGATATCCGATTGCTAGGTCAGCTACAGGGTGCTCCTGTACAACATGCTACAGAATGTAAGCTTTCATTATAGAAGTTATGTTACCAGCCCTTATGGTTGTGAAGATAACCTTCCCTGAGTGAACCAAATGGAAGCATATGAAGTATGTTTTTCCTGGGTCTGCGAATAGCCTGAAACAATAGCTGTAATGGGGCACTGACTCTGAAAACTAAGAAGGACAAAATAAAATGTTTATTTTGCTGTTGATCATTTTAGCATTAACATTCAGCTAGTGTGTACATCTACTGCTGTTGGAAGAAGTGACAGGTATAATGATTGAGAGGTGCAGTGGGCTCTTGGCTGCCATGAAGAATTGCTATGGTGAGATATTAAGAATTAAAGCTTCTCCAACCAAAATGTCAAGTCACCTCAAGGGTGAGTGAAAAGGAGATGTATCCCTTTCCCCAGTGCCTCAGCTGTGACAGGGGTGCCAAAACCCCAAACTCCCTCTCGCAGTTGATGCCAAAACACCCCGACTCGTGTCAAAACTTCTAGCTTTCCCCATTCAATTTAATTATTCGTTGACAATGTAAATGTCTGCAGCAAATTTAAAATTTGGGGCAGCAGCAAACTAAATTAATATAAAAATAAATAATACTAGGGAATACTCTAGTTCTGACTGTTATTCATTTTTACATTTAATTCAATAAAACCTCAATTTTGAAGCTGCCACAGAAATTATATTTTGCTACAAAATTCAGGACTGGAGTGCCATAGCGATCAGGTGGCCATCCTGAAGAATTTAGGTTCTGTCTTTTGTAGAGGGCATTCATTATTGTAACAGATGGTGCAGTGTAACATGGATCACTGTAACCCAAATACAGACACTTAAGTTTTAGTCATTTGCACTGCAGGCTCTGTTAACACAGCAACTTCATCCTATGTACTGCAGCATTTATTTTTCCAGGCTGTAGTGAAGAAACAGCTCACAGCTCATGTTAGGAACATGGAAAAACTAGAGCACTAGGAGTAATTTATTCACTCTTATTTTTGTTGTGTAGTGGGATAACCCGAGGCACGAAAAAGTGAGCTCCTCCTGGGTTTTTAAAGTTTCCTCTTAGTTTGTTATTCTGTGCCTATTTTTAATATGAATTTCTCCCTTGTTGTCCTTCAACAACAGATTCTGCCAAACAATGTTGCTAAAGGTGCTCACAGGATAATGGACAATTGATAGTTTTAAAAAGATCAGTTAAAGAAAAAGGACAATGATGCTAAAGCTGCAGATTTCTCAATTGCACCATACGTGGCTGCTTTCAACATCAAATCATTCACCAAAATTCTGACTGGCTTGTGGGGTAGTGCAAAACCTCCCTTTCTCACTGTTGATGGAGAAAGGAACAGATATAAAGGAATCAAGTATGAACCATGTGGTCCACAGCTTTACTAGAGTTTTCAGGTGACTGCTGCAATGTCATGAAAGGCACTCTGCTTTATCACAACTCAAAAACTATCTGCTGTTTTTTTTTCTTTTAAGGAAGCTCCCCAGAGCACCAGCATGTTTGCATGACATTTTATTGCATATTTCACTACTTTTGTCCTTCCCACTGAAACAACACAAGAATTGTATCGGGAAAATTAAAGAAATAATTAACTATCATACATATATGAGACTACTAAATAGCCATCATCAATATTATTTATACTTACTTGATATAGTAGGGCACTTTGTTTGGTGAGATTGCCCTCTCCCAGGGACCCTGGACAGAAGCTGTTAACAAATATAAATAAATAAATATATAAATAAAATAAGAGAGACATGGAGGTCAAGTTCAAAGCAAACAGAAAAGACAACATTAATCTCTGGAATTACAATTTTACACTTGGCCACGCTGATATGGGTCTGTTTGCTCAGTTACCCATGAAGGCAGGAAGGATTAACCTGCTGTTCTGAAATTTCTGTCCTAATCTGAGTGAAATTGAACTCATTCAGCTGCAAAGATAAATGCAAAAACCTCTTTGACTACTAAACTTAAAGAAGAGATAAGGAACTCAACACGCAGCCTATCTGTCTTTCTGGCGAGTTCTTTTACGGGGCACCTCTTGGTAATGCTTTCTGTTGTTTTTTCTTCAATTTCACCTCTTATTTGATCAACTGTTCTCATCCTTCTAGGAACAAAATTACACCCTGGTTTACATTTTATGTCAAGTAAAGACATTTAGCAGCCCAGTATGATGATGTTCTCCTGTTTATTTGTTTTAAATAGAGACCTATTTCATTTTTATTTCCTATATTATTAAATGTTCATGTGTTTTATTGTCTTTCAAAACTGGCAAGCAGTGCAGAAGATGTCGGCATGATCACATCAAAAAGTGTTAAACCCATCAGAAAATGGCACTACGTAATAGCAGTTTTCTCAGTCTAGATTCTCACAGCATTAAGTACCAACATCAACTTACAGTATAGTGAAAATATGTTGTAAATAATGTTTTCTATGAAAAAGGAATATGGGTAGGACATATTTTCAAATGATGGAAATTCTTGCTTGCTGATGGTCTGAGCCATATTCTGAAAGCTCTTCTTTAATACTTAGAATTTACAATCTTTTCAAGTTCACCATCAGAAGCAAGCTCCCCTCAAACCAGGATCCACCAGCTCAAAGTTGTACCAGACCCTGCCATAATAATAGATGCAAAACCTGCAGACATATCTCCACTGCTATGAAGATCAATACCCTCACAACACACCTTTCAAGATCCATGGGTCCTATACATGCCTATCACAACATGTGGTGTATCTCATCCAGTGCACTAAATGCTCCAACAACAACTATGGGTGAAAACAGACAATCACAATGTCCCAAATGAATGCACACAGAAAAATGATAAAAGACAAAAACACCGTATCACGTGCAGGTGAACACTTTTCACAAAGTGATCTCTCTATATCTGACACTTCAGTCCTCATCCTCAAAGGAAACCTGCCCAACACCTTCTAGAGATAAGTCTGGGAGCTAAAATTCATAACTTCGCTAGACTCTAAAAATCACAGTTTTAATAAAGACACTGTATCTAAGGCTTATTACAATAATCTGTAACCCACTAACCCTTCCTACTCCCCCTTCCCCCTTTCAGTGCTATGACTGCAGAGGTGTGACCAGGCCACTTCACTTTGACTCGTCTCTTACAATACGTGTTAACTATTTACGCTAAACCATCTGTTCCAGCTTGTATTTAGCCCTGACACTCTGAGGGTATGCCTACCCTGCAATTAGACACCTGCAGCTGACGCATACTAGCTGACCTGGTTTCACGGGGCTCAGGTTAAGGGACCATTAATTGCAATGTAGATGTTCCAGGTTGGGCTGCAGCCTGAGCTCTGGAAATTCTCCCACCTCACAGGGTACTAGAGCCCAGGCTGCCCCAAGCCCAAACATCTACACCGCAGTTAAATACCCCTTAGCCCAAGTCCTATGAGCCCGAGTCAGCGGACATGGGCCAGCTGCGGGTTTTTAATTGTGTGTAGACATACCCTATGTACCTTTCTCATACCTGAAGAAAAGCTCTGTGTAGCTCAAAAGCTTGTCTGTGTCACCAACAGAAGTTGGTCTAGTAAAAGATATTGCCTAACCCGCCTTGGCTCGCTATTCTATATATAGTCATTTAGATTTTATCTACTTAAAAAATGCCTATCCCAGGGTCTAGGTGTTTTAACAGATATTAAAACAAAATCAAATCACAATCTGTATGAATAAAGGAACAAATGTATCCACACCTATGCACAAAAGTCCATCAGCTGAATAAAGAAAATACACCACCTACTTTAAATACATCTCATTGCACCTCAGAAATTCAAGTAAAAAGATAACATGAGCAAAGGAGTTGGAGAGAACATGTGAAACACATTTTAAAATAGTTTATAGGGAATTAGCGGATCATTGTTTGTGGGACTGCTAATAAATAAATACATTTTGAGGAGGGATTTGAAGAGGTCAGGGAAGTTGCATAGCAAACAATATCAGGAAGAAAAAAATTAGCTGTAAGGGCAGCATGGGAGATACATGGAGGCACTTATGAGAGTCTAAAAAGGAGAGCAACATGCAACCAAAATGAGATATGGGCTGGAGCAAACACAAAGAGTTTAAGATACTTTTGGATGAAAATGAGAAGCCAGTAAAGGGACTCAAAGAAGGTGATGATGGAGCTGGAGTGGCAAGGAAGAGGAGTATGGCAGCGACATTGTAGATGGACTGGAGGGTGACAGAAAAGCATCCTTGTTCTGTCATCTGCTACCACTGAGAACCGTCTAGATCCATCCTCTTTGGAAGCCCCTTTCAGGTAGTTGAAAGCAGCTATCAAATACCCCTCATTCTTCTCTTCTGCAGACTAAACAATCCCAGTTCCCTCAGCCTCTTCTCATAAGTGTGCTCCAGCCTCCTAATAATTTTTGTTGCCCTCCTCTGGACTCTTTCCAATTTTTCCACATGTGGGGCCAAAAACTGGACACTGTACTCTAGATGAGGCCTCACAATGCCAAATAGAGGACAATGATTACATCCCTCGATCTGCTGGCAATGCTCCTACTTATACAGCCCAAAATGCCATTAGCCTTCTTGTCAACAAGGGCACACTGTTGACTCATATCCAGCTTCTCATCCACTGTAACCCCTAGGTCCTTTTCTGCAGAACTGCTGCCTAGCCATTCAGTCCCTAGTCTGTAGCAGTGCATGCGATTCTTCCATACTAAATGCAGGACTCTGCACTTGTCCGTGTTGAACCTCATCAAATTTCTTTTGGCCCAATCCTCCAATTTGTCTAGGTCCCTCTGTATCCTATCCCTACCCTCCAGCATATCTACCACTCCCCGCAGTTTAGTCTCAACTGCAAATTTGCTGAGGGTGCAATCAACGCCATCCACCAGATCATTAATGAAGATATTGAACAAAACTGGCTCCAGGACCGACCCCTGGAGCCCTCTACTTGATACTCTACTCTACTTGATACTGGCTGCCAACGAGACATGGAGCCATTGTTCACTACACGTTGAGCACGATGATTTAGCCAGCTTTCTATCCACCTTATAGTCCATTCATCCAGCCCATACTTCTTTAACTTGACGGCAAGAATACTGTGGGAGACCGTATCAAAAGCTTTGCTAAAGTCAAGGAATAACATGTCCACTGCTTTCCCCTCATCCACAGAGCTAGTTATCTCATCATAGAAGGCAATTAGGGTAGTCAGGCATGACTTGCACTTGGTGAATCCATGCTGACTGTTCTTGATCACCTTCCTCTCCTCCAAGTGCTTCAAAACTGATTCCTTGAGGACCTGCTCCATGATTTTTCCAGGGACTGAGGTGAGGCTGACTGGCCTGTAGTTCCCCGGATCCTCTTTCTTCCCCTTTTTAAAAAATGGGCATTACATTAGCCTTTCTCCAGTCATCCAGGACCTCCCCCAATCACCATGAGTTTTCAAAGATAATGGCCAATGGCTCTTCAATCATACCCGCCAACTCCTTTAGCACCCTCGGATGCAGCGCATCCAGCCCCATGGACTTGTGCTCGTCCAGCTTTTCTAAATAGTCCTGAACCACTTCTTTCTCCACAGAGAGCTGGTCACCTCCTCCCCATACTGTGCTGCCCAGTGCAGTAGTCTGGGAGCTGACCTTGTTCATGAAGACAGAGGCAAAAGAAGCATTTAGTACATTAGCTTTTTCCACATCCTCTATCACTAGGTTGCTTCCCCCATTCAGTAAGGGACCCACACTTTCCCTGACCTTCTTCTTGTTGCTAACATACCTGTAGAAACCCTTCTTGTTACTCTTAACATCCCGTGCTAGCTGCAACTCCAAGTGTGATTTGGCCTTCCTGATTTCACTCCTGCATGCCTGAGCAATATTTTTATACTCCCTGGTCATATGTCCAGTCTTCCACTTCTTGTAAGCTTCTTTTTTGTGTTTACAATTAGCAAGGATTTCACTGTTAAGCCAAGCTGGTAACCTGCCATATTTACTATTCTTTCTACACCTCAGGATGGTTTGTTCCTGCAACCTCAATAAGGATTGTTTAAAATACAGCCAGCTCTCCTGGACTCCTTTCCCACTCATGTTATTCTCCCAGGGGATTCTGCCCATCAGTTCCCTGAGGGAGTCAAAGTCTGCTTTTCTGAAGTTCAGGGTCTCCTTCTGCTGCTCTCCTTTCTTCCTTGTGTCAGGATCCTGAACTCAACCCTCTCATGGTCACTGCCTCCCAGGTTCCCATCCACTTTTGCTTCCCCTACTAATTCTTCCCTGTTTGTGAGCAGCAGGTCAAGAGCAGCTCTGTTAATTCCTCTAGCACTTGCATCAGGTCATATATTTGAAAACTATATCATAATACATATATGCAAAGGGACAGAATAAAGATTTGGCATATATATTATACATCTAAATACACACACAGAGTTAAGCATTGTAATATATTACTTAGATTGTAAACTCTTTGGGGACACGGACAGTCTTTTTGTTCAATATTTGTACAGTGCCTAGCACAATGAGTCCTGCTCCATAACTAGGGCTCCTAGGGAAATATGGTTATATAACTAAGTAACTAAGTAACTAACTAACTAACTAAAAAACAACAAAAACTAATACAGCTGACATTCACAATCTTCCCACATTCCCAATAATATCTATATCTTAATTTCTGTCATGATAAACTCATTCCACTATATACTTGGATGCAGAAAACCTCCAAAGACAATATACCAGGCAATGCTATGTGTTATCTGAAA